CTTCAATCTTTTCTCTGTTGATAAGAATGTTGTTTATTGGTCCAGTGGTGAGGATTTTGGTTTTCTTTACATTGAGAGGCAATCCATACTGAAGGCTGTGCTCTTTGATCTTCATCAGTAAATCTTTTAACTCTTCTTCACTTTCAGCAAGCAAGGTTGTATAATCTGCATATCACAGTTTGTTAATGAGTCTTCCTCCAATCCTGATGCCACGTTTTTCTTCATATAACCCACTTTCTTAGATTATTTGCTCAGCATACAGGTTGAATAAGTATGGTGAAAGAATACTACCTTGTCACACAACTTTCTTAATTTTAAACCATTCAGTGTTCTCGTGGAAGACACTCAAAATGCGACTGGAAAAAGGTGTCTCCTCAAAGTAGAGTTGACCAAGATGACGTTAATGGAGTAAAGCTTTCGGGGCCCTCATTTGTTGATGGGGAACAACTCTAAATGAGGAGACAAAGCTATAACTGTCAATTAATAATCAGAATATGGAATGTACGAAGTATATATATCTAGGAAAATTAGAAGTTGTCAAAAATGAAATGGAACGTATAAATGTCAATATCCTAGGTGATGTTGTTGTTGTTGTTGTTGTTAAGTGCCATTAAGTTGGTTCCAACTTAATAGCAACCATATATAGAGTTTACAAGGAGCAGTTGGTAGGCTTGAACTGCTGACCTTGGGGTTCACAGTCCAGTGTTGATACTATATCACAACAGGTATCCATTAGGCATAGACTGATATTGACCATTTTGAATCCGACAACAGTGTAGTTTATTATGCTGGAAATTACAAATAGAATAGGAATGACATCACATTCTTCATCAAAAAGAATATTTCAGATCTGTCTTGATGTACAATGCTGTCTGTGATAAGCTAATATCCATACACCTACAAGGGAAACTAGTTAATACAACTATTACTCAAATCTATGCACCAATGCATCACTACAACTAGTGGTGATGAAACTGAAGAATTCTACCAACTGCTTCTTGAAGAACTGACGGATTCCAAATTGAAATCTTTCAGCAAACTGATGCAGCACTGGAGGCACTCACTCATCTATGTCAATAAATTTAGAAGACAACTACCTGGCCAACTGACTGGAAGAGATCCCTATTTGTGCACGTTCTAAAGAGAAGTGACCCAATGTCATGTGGAAACCATCGGACAATATCACTGATTCCATGAAAGTAAAGTTTTACTAAAGGTAATTCAAAAGTGGTTGCAACCATACATTGACAAAGAACTTCCAGAGGTTCAAGCTGGATTCAGAAGAGGATGTGCAATGAGGGATATCATTGCTAACATCAGATGGATGTTGGCTAAAAGCAGAATATACTAGAAAGATGTTTACCTGTGCTTTATTGACTATGCAAAGGCTTTGCCTTGTGTGGATCATGAAAAATTAAGGAAAACATTGCAAAGTATGATTATTCTGTAACACTTAATTGTATTCATGAAAAAATGTACGTAGACCAAGAGGAACTTATTCAAACAGAACAAGGGAACACTGAAATGTTTAAAATTAGGTTAGGTGTGTGTCAGGGTTGTATTCTTTCACCATATTTACTCAGTTTGTGCTATGCAAATAATTGGAGAAGCTGGGTTATATGAAGGAAAACATGGCATTAGGACTGAAGGAAGACTCGTTAACAATCTGTGATATTTAGATACAACCTTGCTTGCTGAAAGTGAAGAGGACTTAAAATACTTACTGATGAAGATCAAAGACCAGAACCTTTGGTATGAGTATATACTCACCACTAGAAAAATACTCACCACTAGACAAATAAACAACATCTATATAAATGGAGAAAAGATTGAAGTTGTCAAAGACTTTATTTTGTTTGGATCAACCATCAACACTCATGGAAGCAGCAGTCAATAAATCAAATGATGTATTGCATTAGGCAAATTTGCTGTATGAGATTATCTTTAAAGTGTTGAAGAGCAAAGATGTCAGTTTAAGGACTAAAGTGCACCTGATATTTTCAATAACTTCATATGCATGTGAAAGTTGAACAATGAATAAGGAAGACCACAGAACTGATACATTTGAGTTGTAGTATTGGAGGAGAATATGAAAGTACCGTGGACTGCCAAAAGACCAAACAGATCTGTGTTGCAAGAAGTAAAGCCAGAGTGCTCTTTGGAAGCCAGGATGGCTAAACCTCATCTCTAATACTTCAAAAATATTATCAGGAGAGACCAGTCTCTGGAGAAAGATATCATGTTTGGTATAGTGGTGGAAGGTCGGAGGAAAAAAGCGGAAGACCTCCAATGAGATGGATTGGCACTGTTGTGGCAGCAATAGGCTCAGATGTAGTAACATTTGTGAGGTTGGCCCAGGATGAGCATTGTTTCATTCTATTGTACCTAAGGTTGCTGTGAGTTGGTACCAGCTTGATGGCACCTAACGACAAGAACAACCAAATTCTTCAGTCTAAAATTAATTAAACATGCAATCAAGATGTATTGAAAATCACTGACAATTGGAATGCAAAGGTTGGAAAAAGAGGAAGGATCAATCATTAGAAAATATGGCCTTGGTGATAGCAATGATGCTGGAGATTGCATGATAGAATTTTACAAGAACATTGACCTCTTCAGTTCAAATACCTTTTTTAAAACAACATAAAAGACAACTATATGGACTTAATCAGATGGAATACACAAAAATCAATTTGACTTCATCAGTGGAAAACTCCTTAACATCAGCTGAAACAAGGCCAGAGGCAGACTGTGGAACAAAGCAAATTCACACTGAAGCTGAAGAAAGTAAAAGCCAAGTTCACGAAAGCCAAAATATGACCTTGAACATACCTTACCTGAATTTAGAGATCATCTGAAGAACAGATTTGATGTATTAGACACTAATGACCAAAGACCCAAAGAGTTGTGGGATGACATAAAGAACATCATACAGGAGAAAGCAAAAGGTCATTAACAAGATAAAAAAAGGAAAAGACCAAAATGGATGTCAGAAGAGACTCTGAAACTTGTTCTCCAGCATAGAGATGCTAAAGGAAATGGAAGAAATGAGGAGGTACAAAGCTGAACAGAAAATTTCAAAGATCAGCTCGAGAAGGTAAAGTCAAATATTACAACAAAATGGGCAAAGATCTGGAGTAAAAAACCAAAAGGGAAGAACACATTCTACATTTCTCAAGCTGAAAGAACTGAAGAAAATATTTAAGCTTCAACCTGCAATTTGAAGATTTTAACTTCAAAATATTGAATGATGTAGAAAGCATCCAAAAAAGATGGAAAGAATATACAAAGTCATGGTGCCAAAAAGAAATGGTTGATGGTCAACCATTTAAAGAGGTAGTCGAAGATCAACAGGTCAATGATTCTGAAGGAAGACGTTCAAGGTTCACTGAAGGCAAAGAACATGTCTCTGGTAATTTATGGAATACAGTTTGAAATTTTTCAACATACTGAAGCAGCACTGGACTCCCTCGCTTATCTATGCCAAGAAATTTGGAAGACAGCTACCCGGCCAACTGATTGGAAGAGACTCATATTTGTTGCCATTCCAAAGAGAGGTGGCCCAAAAGAATG